CGCTGCACCATAACTCTGCGTGCCCTGCGCGGGAAAAGGGGGCGGGCGGGTCTCTGCCGGCGGTGCGCGGCGCACAGCCCCGCGGTGGCTGCCGGGAAAGCGATGGCGGCGGCAGCGGGATCTGCTCCGACTTTGTGAGCCCTGGCGGGGGCTGCGGCGGGGCTGGGGATGCGCTCGGGGGCTGCGGGGAGCGCGGCTGTGGGCGGGAAGGCTGGAGGGTTCGGCAGAGTGGGGAGGAGGGGCTCGGGGGTTCCCGAGGAGGTTTTGACGTCCGTGAGGGGCTGTCGGGGGGTCGCGGAGGGGATTTGGTGTCCTGAGGGCGCTCAGAGGGGAGGGTGAAGGTGCCTGAAGGGGTTTAGGAGGTCCCTGAAAGGGCTGGGGCCCTCGGAACCCTCTGGGAGGGCGCTGTTTTAACGCCATGGCTGCACTGCGCAGGCGCCCGCGGAGTTCTCATTAAAGGAACTTCAACTCCCATGGCGCCCTGCGCGGCGCCGCCATTGCTGCTCGTGCCACAGCGCCGCCTTTCGGCTGGGCGGACCGACCGCAGGGAAAGCGGGTCCCGAAGCCCGCCCGAATCCCAGAGACCCCCAAAACTCAGCACACAGAGACCCCACAGGGACGGGATCCCAGTGGTCCCCTAAAGGCTATCAATGGGGTTCAAGGGGTCTCCCAGCCCTCAGGGTAGGGGTCCTGGTGCTGCCACCCAAAGTCTTGGTGGGGAGATGAACCACATATGGGTAAAGGGATCCTAGTGCCCCCAGTATAGCCCAGTGACGTCCCAGTGGCTCTCAGTATGGCCCAGTAACCCCCCAGTGACAACCCAGTGTTTCCCAGTGACCTCCCACTGCCACTCAGTATGGCCCAATGATCCCCCAGTGAGCACCCAGTAACCCCTAGTATGGCCCCGTAACCTCCCAGTGTCTCCCTGTGTGTCCTGGTAATCACCCAGTAATCACCCAGTCTCTCCCAGCACCCTCCCAGCATCCCTCAATAACGCCCCAGTCCCTCCCAGTGCCCCCTGGTTCCCCCAAGTGTTTTCCAGTATCCCCCAGTAATCACCCAGTGCCCCCCAAAGCCCCCTAAGTGTCCCCAGTGTCTCTCCACATGTCGTTGAATTTTCTGTGAGTGTGAAGGGGGAATGGGGGTTGGTCTGGGGTCAGAGGGTCCAGAGGGGGCTCCTGGGAGATGATAGAGGGTTGGAGACATTTGGGATGGGGTTTGGGGACAGTGGAATTGAGGGTGTCAAGGGGGAAACTGGGGCCATGGGGAGGCCCCTGAGGACATTGGGGACACCAGGGGGGTCTCAGGACTCATCTGCTTGTGGTGCTGCCCCTCCTCTCCCACCCAGGTGGCCCTGAGCAATGGCCCAGAGGTGAGCCCAGAGCTGGCCCTGAGGTGGCCCTGAGAAGAAGTGGAAGGCAGAGGTGGTGCTGAGGCAGGAGAGCCCCGTGCTGGGGAAGAGGCTGAGCTGGGAGTGCCCAGCAGCGAGAAGGTGCTGTGTCCATGCCCTGTGTGCCAGGTGAGCTGGGGCTTTGCTGCAGAGCTGGTGGCGCTGATTGGAGTGGCTGCAGCTGCTGAGCTGGTGGCCCCCAGGAACACAAAGTGTGCCCGGCCACGGAGCCTGCAGGGAGGAGCAGGGACAGCCCCAGGGGAGCTCTGGGGGGCCGGGAACCTCTTGGCTGGGGCAGGAAAGAGCCGCTGGCCACGAGGACGGGGTGTTGGTCCCGGCCACTGATGGGGCTGAGCAGAGCACGAGGCCTCTTGCAGACAACTGGAGCAGCTTCCCACTTGCCAGCCCCGCCCTCGTGGGGTGACACTGTCCCCTCCCTGCAGGACACTCCCCCTGAAATCCTTGGGTAGGGGGCCTTTTATGTCTTTCGCTGTTTACTGCTTCATCCTGGGGACCTGAGGGCCCCTCTGCAATCCCAGCCCTGGGGCACAATCTGCTCTCCAGATGAATCCAAGAAATCTGGTAAAGAAACTACCCAGAAGCTTTTGGTCTTATGAGCAGCAAAGGTGTTTATTTGTGGACGTCAGGAGCAGGCGAGGTTTGCACCACAAAGCTCTTGCTCGAAGGTCTCAGTGCAAAACAGGGTAATTTATACAGTGTAACTTCTATGATTACAACATCTTACATCCATATTCATTTGATTGCAACATCGAATCATTGATGTTGATAATAGCTGAAATACAGGCAGAGCTCAGGCAGAGCTTGGGGTGGAGCTTTTCTTGACCCTCAGTTCTGGGGGTTCATCCCCCTTTCTTCATCATCGGGGCTGGGGTCTCTGCAGTCTTCCTCAGTTTCACCCCTCTAACTTTCCACTGTCTTTGCCCCAGTCACTGAAGCTTGGAGAGAGCCTTGGCTTTAGGCCTATTTCTCCTATTCAAATGTCTCCCTTGGCTGACTTTGCCTTAATTTCTGGCCTACAGACCATTGGAGAATGTTTCCAGCCTTCTTTAGATCAGGTCCAAGGAACAGAACAGAACAAATTTTTCTTTAGCAATTTAGGCAGAGCAGGTATGGGGGGGCTTCTCTCAACTGAGCAAGATATTTCAAAGATAATTCTTTAGGCCTTGCTCTCCTTTCAAGGGGGAATGTCTGGGAAGGCAGCACCCCAAAGGTGAGAGTCAGAGGAGAAGGGACCCTTGGGACCACCAGCACTCCCAACATCCCTAAGTGAGTCCCCCAGCATCCGAGACAGGGGAGACCCTCTGAACCGCAGAGGGGAGAGACCAGAGAGGGGAATATCCTGGGAGAGATTTTTTTGGGCTAATCTTCAGAATTGGGCATATATTTAAACTGAATCTCGACTTTTTGCTGTTTGGGGTGTGGGGATCTTCTTGCTATTTCTGAAAAGTTTTTACCTGAATCTCGGTGGTTTGGGTTTTTCTGGGCTAAATCTTGGTGTTTTGGAGGTTTTTATGGTCCCAGGATGCCCGGTGAGTTCTAGAGATGGACTTGGGCGGGAGGAACCCCCAAGGAAACGCACTCAGCCCTTGTTTCCCCTCAGCAGGATTTGTCCTTCCCAAAGTTTGGGAGGATGAAGGAGGAGAGGAAAAAAGTGCGGGCCCCTCAGGCAGGTGAGGAGGAAGTCAGTGCCCCTTTGGCCCTGTCTTGTGGTGCACGTGGGGCCTGGATCTAGGGGATGTCCTTGGCCTTCCCTCTGGGCCAGAGGCAAATCCCCTGCCTGTCCTTCTTCCTTCCTGCCCCAGGCCCCGAGCTGAGGACGGAGAGCACGGAGGACAAATCCCCCCGGCAGAGCCTGGTGGGAGAGGCCGTTTTGAAGGGCTCCCCGGTGCAGGAAGGCAGCGGGGAGGAAAAGGCCCGGAGATGCCCCCGGAGGAGGGGCTGCAAAGCCAGCCCAGGGAGCTCTGAGGTGGAAAGACCCGTCCTGTGCCGGGAAGGCGACCGGAGCTTGAGCTGGAGCTCTGAGCTGGTGGTCCCTGAGCAGCCTCCCAGCAGGGAGAAACCCTTGAGGTGCTTGGAATGTGGGAAGAGCTTCAGCCGGAGCAACGACCTCCTCAACCACCTGCACATCCACACTGGGGAACGGCCCTACACGTGTAGGGAATGTGGGAAGAGTTTCACCCAGAGCTCCAACCTCCTCAAGCACCAGCTCATCCACACCGGGGAACGGCCTTACAAGTGCTTGGAATGTGGGAAGAGGTTTCGGTTCAGCTCACATCTCCTCAGGCATGAGCAAACACACACAGGGGAGAGGCCCTTCCGCTGCACCGACTGCGGGAAGGGCTTCAAACGGAACGACACCCTTGTCATCCACCGGCGCATCCACACCGGGGAGAGGCCCTACAAGTGTGGAGAGTGTGGGAAGAGCTTCACCCAGACAGCTCACACTTGACCTCCCACCAACGGACCCACCATTAAGGGAAGCCCGACGAGTTCCCCAACTGCGGGAAGAGCTTCGGCCACTGATCCCACCCTGAATGACCCCCCTGATGGTGAGGCAACCCCTGGAGTCCAGTGATTGTCAGTCCATCCCTTTCTACCAGAAAGGGCCAGTCCCCTTTCCCAGGGGCAGGTTGTGCCAACAGAACCCTTCTTGGAGGGTGTGTGGAGATTCCTGCCTTGGCTGGGGACCCCCCAAGGTCAGTGCTGGAGGTTGAGAGCAGAGATCTCCCCACGATTGTTGGTCTGGGGGAGTTCCATCCATTTCTAATTCATAATTCTTGCTTTGGTGCCAACTTGAGTAGAATTGCTTCAAAAATTGCTTTAGTGTAGAACACTGTCCTATCTTATTCTGTATTAGTGGTAGTTTTAGTGTTTCTTTAGTGTTTCTTTTAATGTTTCTTTAGTGTTGCAGTTTCCATGGAGAAAAGGTGAGGGGAGGTGGGCAGAGATTCTCGGCTACAGTCACCAGTTCTTCTCCCTTTCCTCTCCCTGATTTTCCAGAATTTGCCCTCAATTTTTATAGTGTTCACAGGAGCTTGAACATGGTTTCTTGGCACGTAGCCAGTTCAGATGTTGGAATAGATATGATAATCATAAACAATGGCAGGATCTTTTGGCAGGAAAAGAGCCGTGGGAAGTCCTGGTGAGAACTTCTGGCAGAGAGCTGACAGAGAATGTTTGATAGGAAGTTTTTGACAGGCAGAAACAATTTTTGGCATTTTTATATTATCTGTGTGTTACAGATGGTTGCCATGGTAAATAACTGGGAATGCATAATGGTTGCCATGGTAACCACAGTATCAATGATACTTTATAACGGTTGCCATGGTAACCGAGGTAACAATGAGAATGCAGAAGATATACCATGGTAACGAAATTCACAATGAGAATATGTAGTGGTTGCCATGGTAACCAAGGTCGCAATGAGAATGCACAGTTGTTGCCATTGTAAGTGACATAACAATGAGAAGGGACAATGGTTGCCATGGTAACCAACATCACAATGAGAATGCTTAATTGTTGCCATGGTAACCAATGTAACAGACTGCATAATGGTTGCCATGGTAACCGAAGTCACAGTGAGAATACACAATTGTAACAGAGATCACAATGAGAATGCACAATGGTTGCCATGGTAACTAAGGTCACAGTGAGAATGCACAATGGTTGCTATGGTAACTGTGGTAACAATGAGAATGCACAATGGTTGCCATGGTGTGAGGGGGGGAATTTTGATTCAGATGATCAGTGGAGCATAGAGGGGTGAGAAAGTGATTACATTGGGGTGTGAAACCAGCCAGAATATTGTACAATGTGACTTTATTGCACAAGTTGACTGTAGGGCCCACTGTGTCTTTAGCAATTTTAATTGGATATCCCCCATTATCATACCTGAGTTCCTCCTTGGCTTGGCTCCACTCTGCAAGAGAGATACAAATTCCCTTGAAACACAATGGTACAGGTCGTCCATAGGGCTGAGCAAGGTGATGGAGAGGAAGATGATGTGGGCAGGGGTCGTTGGCCCCTTGCCCTACAGTGGGGCTCGCCCAGACTGTTGGCATGAGGTGATGAACAGGGACTGTTTGGCTGCCACTCAAGCACCACCTTCTGCTGCGTCCTGGCCCTACGTAGTGTAATGTAGAGCTGATGGAATGGGGTGTCAGCACTGCTGGGTGGAGCGATGCTCATCCTTCCATCCACACTGTGCTGCTCCGCGGGGACACCCGCCAAGCACGGGCACCGACCAGCCCTGCAGAGCCTGGTAGGCCTGGCCTGTCTGTGCAGGTGAGCACAGTTTATTGATAGGAAGCAACCAGGAAAGAAAACATTTTGTATTTTTTTTTTTTTGTATTCCTTTAATTCCCTTTTTACTAGCTAATGTTGTAATAAAAGCTGATTGTAGTATTGTATGAATGCTAACTGATAAAGTAGTGATTTTGTCTTCTTTTTTAGCTTTTTAACCTCTTTGCTAGTAGTCTTTTACTCTAACTGCAATAAGAGATTTTTTGTAATGTTTGAATGACTGTTGTACTTGTCTTTGTTCTGGCCATGGATCCTAACGAAGAGATACAGGGGGTCCCCAGGAGGCAGTTTGGGATGGCTGGGGAGTCCCGGGAGATTTGATGGAGGGAAGTTGGGGATCCCCAGGAGTCTTGGGGGGGACTTGGGGGGTTCCCAGGAGTCCCCGGGCCCCCCAAACTCACCCAGCACCACCATGGCCTCGTTGGGTCGGCACGTGAAGAACATGGTGGTGGGAAGAGACCCCAGATCCTGATCGATTCTAACCAATCCCGATCGATCCCAACCGATCCCGATCGATTGGGATCCGCCCCCCACCGCGAGCACCGCCCTGCTCCAAGCAGCCCCCAAGCTCGCCAATTCTGCCTGGTGACCGGTGACATCACGGATTTCACAATGTTCTATTGGAAGAGTCTCACAGGGGTGGGAAGAAGGGGCGGGCATATTCTTCTTGAAAACCAGTGACGTCATTAAACCAGCGCTGTGCTATTGGCTGTGGCACTCAAGGGAGCTCCAAAACCTGTTGATGGCTTGTGGGGGAAGGAGAGCTGGGATGGTCGGGCACAGGGGTGCAGGGGGTTCCAGTGCCCAGGAAAGGGGTCAAAAAAAATTCCCCTCTCTCTCCCAGTGCTCCTCTAACCCATCCCAGTCTCCCCTCTCTCCCAGTGCCCCCCAGCTCATCCTAGTACCCCCTCTCTCCCAGTGCCCCCCATGGACCCGTGCCGTCCCCGTGCTGATTCTGGGGGGGTTGTGTATCCCCCCCATCCCCACTGTCACTCTGCCCCCGCCCAGCTACTCCCAGTGTTCCCAATAAAGCCTCCTAGTTCTCACAGTCCCGGTTTTTGGGGGGCTCGGAGGGATCAGCCACAGAAGGGCCAGAAGCATTTTTTAACCAATGGGAGCGCGCGGAGCTGATGACTCATCAGTTGCCAGGCAGCGCCCAGCGCTCCCCACCTGACCCTTGTTCCACCTCACCGCGGGTCACGTGGTGTCGAACCCTCCCCGCGCGCTCCTCGCCCCATGGGCTGGGCGCGGGCAGCCAATGGGAGGACGCGGAGTGGGCGGGGAGAGGCGGGGATTGGTCGGAAGGCGGAGGGGGCGGGACCAAGAGCCGTGGCGGGCCCCATTCGAGGCACCGTCGGTCAGTTGGGAGTTGGGAGCGGCCGCGGCCGGACGGGCACAGAGAGCGGCCCCGGGGAGAGACCCCGGGGAGGGACCCACAGGGAGCCACCGCCGCCAAGGGCCCCCCGGGGGAGCTCCCCCCCGAGCGGGGCCGGAGCGGGGCCGGCCGGGGGGCACAGGGGAGCCGGGAGCCGCCTCCTCCTCAGGCGGCTGCTGGGAAGGAGCCTGCGCTGGCAGGAGCGAAGGGGCTCGGGCTGAGGCCGGGCAGGGCCAGGGCAGGGATCGGAAGAGTTGTTTGCACCCACAGGGCGCTCGGGCGCTGCAAGAGCTCGCCCAGGTGGAGTCGCCGTCCCTGGAGGTGTTTCAGCGGCGTCTGGAGCTGGCCATGAGTGACGCGGTTCAGTGGTTTGGGGGTTCCTGGGGCGGTGCTGGGTGGGCAGTTGGACCTCATGGAATCGTGGGATGTGCTGAGCTGGGAGGGACCCCTCAGAACCTTCGAGTCCAGCTGCTGATTTCTTAAAACTAATGGAATGGGGATCAAACTATCGGGCTCCAAAAGGTCTTTCATCCCTACTCTACAATATACAGGCCTGTGTTCCCCACGAAGGGCAGGCTGGCAGTTATCAATGGGGACAATAAAGAAAAGCTCAGAGCAGATGTTCATGGTCACCACAGTTGTGTGACACATCAAACCAGCCCTCTGTTCATGGCTGTGTAGAACTGTCATCAAGTCAGAACTTCCTGGTGTAAATATCAGTATATTTGGGTGCAATATTTGCATGCTGTGCTTCTGTGGCACCAAGTGGATTTAAAAGGTTGTAACACTTTATGAGATCATCTTTATGCTTGTGGGTTATATTTAAAAAAAAATAAAAAGTGAAAAGCCATATATTACAGAAGACAACAATGAAAGAACTCCTATTTAACAAAATATAAATTAGGACATCAATCAGGGCAAATGTAAAATTGTAAATAAAAATCACTACAACTCATTCAAGTGTTTGCACACTCAAAGGATATGTTTGAAAATTCTGCCTCAGAAATAAATAAAATAAAATTTCAGAGGCAGTTTGTTACAACCGTTTCAAAGTTTCCAATAAAATTCACCACTCTTGAAATGCAAAGTCTGAAAAATGAAACAAGAGTGCCATTGGAATTCTGGCTGCCAGCTCTGATCTCTACAGGAGTTATTCCAGAGTGTAACAAAAGCAGCAACAGAAATAACCTTTGGCATTAGAGCACCATCCTGCATTAATTGGTCCTGGCAACAGAGCTTTGCTTTTGAACCCCTCTGATAATGAAACCTTGCCAGAACTGTGGGATTATAATGTTGATTTTCTTAAGAAGTTGTGAGTCCTTAACCCAGCATCTCCAGGTGAGCCCCTGCAATAGGAGAGTCCTGTTCCTGCCGTCAGTGGAGAGGAGGGATCAGGTGAGCTGAGCAGGCTGCAAGGGCTTGGATTTCTGCAGGGCTGGAATGTTTTCATGAGTGGACTTCTTCAAATGTGTTTGAGGGAGAAACAGTATTTTCTGCTTTATCAGCTTTCCAGTTTCAGAATGTTGCAATTTATCCCTAAAATCCAATATGTAGTTTCAAAAGATAAAAGTCCTGATCCTGAATCTTTCAGCCTCACCAGCCAATTGCAACTCGCCCAGGGAAGTTCAGAAGTGGAACCATCCATGAAATGCCCCCTTCTGTCCCAGAGATCCCCCAGAGATTCAGCTCCAGTGCCAAACCCCAGGGAGTGTCAGCTGCCACAAAACTGATGTTTGAGTTAGGTGGGTTCCATCTCGTGTTCTTTGGGGTAGCTGGCACATCTGGAGCAAGGGGGGTGGGCAAAGGTGTGTGATTGCCAAGGTCCAACACGGGCAATGTCCCACCAGCAGCAGTTTCTCTGCTGAAGGAAGGCAATGAGTTGCAGAACTGATTGGTAAAATATTTTGTTTTCCTTTTCTATCTCTTGTAAATAATAAGCCATATATTAGATAATATATCTTGAATTTCCAGTTAGCAAAAAGTGTAATGGATTGCTTTGATATGAGTGTTTTGATTATGTTTTCCTGCATAGAAGTCCCTAAGGAATCGGTAAGGATTTTTTCCCTCCTCTCCTCCCCCCCAGTTAGTCACCAGGGTTTTCAAGCCATTGCTGGGCTAAACTCACACTGTTTGTTGTGAGGATGACAGATTGTGCTTCTTCAGGCTTGTCTGCTGTGCAGACAGACCCTCCTGTTCCCCCTCTGTGCCCCACACACGTCCTGGGTGTATGGAGGGAAAAGCAGGGGCAGATTTTGTTCAGATTTGGGGTTTGGGTAAAGAGATTCTATATTGGAGCAGCATGAAAACCATTTCTGTCTCTTCTGTGAGTTCACCCCAACATGGGCAATGTGTGAGGGCTCCCAGCAGTGTCCAGCCAATGTCACCTTTTAAATCTGGAGCCTGAAGGACCCTCAGCTTTGCTCCCCTTTGTGCCTGGGTCACACTTTGTTGTGTGTATGGCAGGGCTGTAAATTTTGTTCCTTCCAGAAAACAACCCCCAAATCAATCTGTATTTTTGGGAGGATTTTGGGGTGTGTGTATTGGATGAACTTCTGTCCTGATATTCCCTATTTATTAATACCCTGCTGGCAGTATCACCAGTCAAGTTTCAGGATCACCTGACAAATGTCTGTGCTGTGCTGGGAGTTTGAAATACAGAAGTGCCAGTGTTTTAAAATGGTACTTATTTAACTTGGGTTATATAAAATAGAGATATAGAATGGGAAAACACAGCCAAAGCTTCTGGTAATTCCTTGGAGCAGCAGCAAAGTACTGGTTGGATTGGGTTGGATTATTGCAGGAAGAAAAGTGACAGATGCCCACCTGAACAGGGCACAAGAGGCTGAGCAAGTTCCAGGTTGCCCCAGATCTCCCAAAGGAAAAAATCCATGCCAGGTATGAACCATTGTGGATTGTCAGTGTTCCATGGCTGGGTGGCAATTGGACAGGTAATGAGCGTTTTTCAGTTCTGCTATTCAAACCTTTTTTATATATTCTCCTTTAATTGTGTAACAAATTTGCAGATCAGGATAATGTAAAATATGTGTGTCATCATCTGAACAGTCTCAATCAAACCCAAGAAAGATCTAATAAGTATTTTTTTTTGCAACAACCACATCTCTGTAATGTCCTGTGGAAGGATCAGAGAGTCCACACAGGAATAAAAGAGACGAGTTCAGAAGGGAAAATATAAAAGGGAAAAGTTTCCCAAGCTTTTGCAGAACCAAAAAATGACAAATGTCCTTGTGTGTGATTACAGCTTGTAGCTCCTGGAAATGAAGGATCTTATTTTATATTTGTAAATATTTACCTGGCCCAACCAGATAAATATGGTTTATAATCCAGGTGATGAACTAATAACAGGAGAGTTGCAGGAGTCCTGAAGCTCAGTCAAGTTAAAGGTTTTGACAAAGAGTTTAAACAAATCTTTTTGTCCATTCCAAAGAGTTCCAGAGGAGTTGATTTATTCCCAGTTGGCAGACAGGAGTCAGCTTATGAAGCCTTTTTAATTTAAGCAGGGCCCCGATGTGATTGTTTGGTAATTGCTGGAGTAAAATTAATAATAAAAACAAAACATTGTGAAGAATCAAATCAAAGTCATTTATTCTGCCATGACTCAATTTGGCTATTTTTCCTGTTATTTATCTCCCTTTGAAAGGTGATGTTTTATAGGATTATAGCTCAAAAATATTTTAATTTCTTAAGCTTGAGTCTGTCCTTCTTTGACCTACAGGCAAACTTAGTTTGCCAGGAAGCAGGACAGAACTAAAAATGCCTGGGAGCAGCACGTGGATGTTTTGCAGTTCCTGGTGAAAACTTGCAAGTTGTATCATCCATGTCATGAACACTGTAGTTGGCTCCATGTCCTATTGCACTGATTTCACCTCTGTTTTAAGATGAGAGCAGCGAATTCTTGTTGCAGATTTTTGTTTCTTTTCATTTCTGGCAGACAGAGTTGCTTCTGTTCAGCACAGCCCTGCTCTTCTCAGGAGCCCACGAGACACGAGCATGGCCCGTGTTGGTGCCCAATCCACAACTCCCAGGATGCTTCCACGTGGGAAAACCCTCCAGATGGTGCTGGACAAGATGCTGCAGTGGCAAAGAGAAGTGTTCCCATCTCCAGGCTCTCTCCTGATCCAGCTGTTGAGGAGAAGGATAAGGAATATCTCCACACCTCCATTACTCCTGGCAAGAGCCTCCATCCTTCCCAGAGCCTCCATGGATAAGAGTCCCTGCTCCCGTGGAGCAGTGGGTATCTGCAGACCCCGCTAATCCAGTCCCAGTGGGAGCCCAGCCCATTCCATTCCTGGATTCCCAGGGGCAGGTGGCACAGCAGCAAATGTCCCAGAGCCACCAGTGCCAAATCCACAGCTCCCAGGATGCTTCCATATGGGAAAACCCTCCAGACGTTGCTGGACAAGATCCTCCAGTGGCAAAGGCAGGTGTTCCCAACTTCACGGCACTCTCTTGATCCGGCTGTGGAGGAGCAGGATAAGGAAACCTCAGGAACTCAGTTACTTCTGGCAAGAGCCTCCAGGCCTCCCAGGGTCTCCGTAAGAATCTGCAGAATCCACATGGCAGAGCCCCCATGGACAGGTCCCCCAGGTCCCTTGGAGCCGAGGGGATCAGCAGACCCTGCCAATCCCTGAGGATGCCGAGGGCTGGGAAAAGCCTGGAAGGAACAAGCCCGTTCCAGTAAAGTGTTCCCAGGAGCAAGTGGCACAGAACTAAGTGTTGGTACCCAATCCATGGCTCCCAGGATGCTTCCATGTGGGAAAACCCTCCAGACATTGCTGGACAAGATCCTCCAGTGTCCAAGGTGGCTTTTCCCATTTCCAGCTGTGGAAGGAGCGGGATAAGGAAAATCTCTGCACCTCTGTTAGTTCAGGCAGGAGCCTCCATCCCTCCCAGAGCCTCCCTGAGCCCTGCCAGGCTTCAGATGGATCAGCCCCCATGGATGGCACTCCCTGCTCCCCTGGAGCCGCGGGAATCAGCAGAGCCCGTTCATCCCTGAGGGTGCCCATGGCCAGGAACAGCCTGGGGGTAAGGAGCCCATTCCAGGCTCCCAGCTGAGGCATTCCCAGGAGCAAGTGGCACAGCAGAAAACTTCCTGGGGGTGCCAGTGCCCAGTCCACGGCTCCCAGGATGCTGCCATGTGGGAAGACCCTACAAACAGTGGTGGACAAGATCCCCAAGCAACCAAGGCAGCTGTTCCCATCCCCAAGGTGCTGTCTCGACCCAGGTGTGGAGGAGCAGGATGAGGAATATCTCCACCCCTCAGTTACTTCTGGGAAGAGCTTCCATCCCTCCCAGAGCCTCCTGAGACCTGCTGGACTCCAGATGGATGAGCCCCCCTGGACTTTTTGGTGGGAGAAATAGAACATTGCTCACAACATTCCACTCTGGCCAAATAAGGAACAACAGAATCTGGAAGAAATCCTGGAGGATTTATTGGATCAGGGATGTACCTGAAGCAACCAGGATGTCAGCTGAGCTCTGGGGACCCAGGGAAGATCAAACCCAAACGTTCCAGCCTTTGTGGTGAAAAACACTGACACTGTGCCTGCTCAGAACTGAGGGCAACAAGGGGACACCTCAACTTTGGGGGGCACCAGACACAGAAAACCCCTCCAGAGACCCCCAAAGAAGACCCCAAATGACCAAATAGGTACTTGCAATAGGGGTGTGAGTGTGTAAAGCAAAGTAATGGGCATGTGTTGAGTAAGGGGGAGTATCCAGATGTGTGGATCTTCCAGTGCTTTGGGGGGGTTATTTGGTGTTCCACAGTTTGGTCTCTGGCTTTGTTTTATCCACTGATCACTGGTTTGTGTTTGTCTTTGTTTCTGCACTGTAACATCTGCACAAGTGGGTTCTGGGTCCAAAACTGACCCCAATTGTACCAGCAGTGAGTCAGCAGTGTGGGGAGTGTGAGAGAAACAATCCAAACCCTGCCAGTGGGGTGGGAATAGGGGATGGAAAGTGTGGAAATGTTCCAGGTGAATGTTGGCAGATGGATTGCACTGAACTGCCCAGAGAAGGGGGGTATAAATATCTCCTGGTCTCGGGGGTACCTTCTCTGGGTGGCCAGAGGTTTTTCCTTGTGGCACCAACCGGGCTAGGGAAGGGAGTGGAATCCTGTTGAATCCAGGAATCCCTGGATTTGGGGTACCTTTGGGAAGGTCACCAGACAGAGGTTCCCACTGGATTGCAGAAACAAAATGCTTCAGTCTTGTTTTGCTCTTCTGATGCAAGTTAAAACACTCTTGACATGGGGGAAAATTTCCATCTCATTTTAGTACCAAATGTGACCCCAGAGTTGCCTACAAGTCCATGGATAAAGTGAGCAAGAATATCTGCCGAATGTGTAAATGTGTGTGTAATCAAAAGCCCTGTCTGTCTGTCCCTGAAGTGGTGAGGCCTGAATTACAGGCCCTGGGCCCAAATTGACCTCTCCATGACCCTTCCAAGCTGATGTTCTGTTTATCCATGTACCACTCATCAGCTAAAGCTGTGTCTGTCTGTGAGTAAAAGATGGAGTGTGATAAGGCTGCAGCTTATCAACAAAATGTGTTAAAATCTGCTCATCAACAAAATGTGTTAAAAGCTTTTTAGTGAGCCATGTTAGTATCTGCTCAGTACTGAACACTCTTTGTACCTGTTCATTGGTGAAATCTGTGTGATTGTCAGCAAGGTCTGATCTTTGTGTGTGTAGATCCTGGTCAAGGCCCTGGAAGTGATACCTGGCCTTGTCTGGCAGCAGATGGGGCAGGTTGTGACTCCCTTGGCTTGTGAGAAATGGAACATTGCTCACAGCCTTTCACAGGGGGCAAATAAAGAACAATATTATCTTGGAGAAGTCCTGGAGGATTGGATCAGGGATGTACCTTGAAGCAACCAGGATGTCAGCTGAGCTGTGGGGACCCAGAGAGGATCAAACCCAAACGTTCCAGCCTTTGTGGTGAAAACCAGTGACACTGTGCCTGCTCAGAACTGAGGTCAACAAGGGGACACCTCAACTTTGGGGGGCACCAGACACAGAAAAACCCTCCAGAGACCCCTGAAGAGGACCCCAAATGACCAAATAAGGACTGGGGATAGAGGGTGTGAGGGTGTAAAGCAAAGTACAGTATTTGTGTGAAGGGAGAATATGTAATGAGTGTGTAAATTGTGTGTAATATAAAGCTCTGTCTGTCTGCCACTGAAGTGCTGAGGCTGAACAACAGGCCCTGAGCAAAGCTGGCCTCTAGAGCTCCAATCTGATGTTCTATTTATCCCTCATCAGCTAAAACTATGTGTGTTTGTGAGTAAAAGATGTAGTGTGAGAAGACTACACTGTGTGTCTGCTCATCAACAAAATGTCATTAGTAAGATGTATTAATATCTGCTCATTAGTGGATACTGTTTGTGTCTGTTCATTAACAAAATGTGTGTGATTGTGAGCAAGGTGTGACCTTTATCTCCCCGTGTTTGGGGGCTGGTGAAGGCCGTGGCTGTCGATGTCTGGCCTTGCTTGGCAGCAGATGGGACAGGTTGACTCCCTGGGTTTGCCCCTTCAGGCCTGGCCAGGCTTTGGGTGGGATCCAGGAGGAGAAGGGAGTGTAATAAGTAGTAGTAGTTAAATTTACTCATCAAATTAGTAGTAGTAGTTTACTCATTAAATTATAGTGCATGTTATATTCTTATATATATGTTATTATAATCAATGTTCTGTTAAGATTGGGAGACTGTAAATTACCGAATGGTTAAGCTAATAGTCATGCAGCTTGCAATTCTTAAGCTGGAAAGACAAATTATTGTGTTTTACTGAATAAGTATTTTGTATCTTACTTTTATAAAAAGCTTATTGTCTCACAACACGCATAAAGTAAAGGAAAGAAGGACAAGGACCAAAGAGTCAGGAACTGAAACGATCCAGAGTATCCAAGATGGACATCTAGAGATGCCAGCAGGTCTAAGGTCTAAGGACTGATTGAAACTATGGGCAGGAAAGCACCTGGCAACTAAAACAGACTTGCAAAGAAACCAACCAGAACCAGACCTGCAAACTCAGATCCAACAGAAGGAGAACAAGTAACTATGGGAGGGGAACTGATAAGGGAATAAAAGTTACTATTTTTGTTCACTGCACTTGCGGGCTGTGAGTGGAGCAGGAGACTCCCCGGCCGCCCAGCATGCTGTTTTGCTTATTTGCATTTTCTATAAGTCTTCAATAAATTTTTATTACTATATTTCAACTCAGTTTCATTTTACTTATAACAGGAGCCAGATGTTTGTGCACACTGGGAGCTCTGTGAGCTCGTTCCTCCCAGGCCAGCAAAGCTGGGCCCCTCCCAGCAGAGCCAGACAACACAGTTCCATGGGGCCCTGCAGTGTCACAATGGGCCCTGATTCCATGGACAACATTCCTAATTTACTGTCCAGACCAGAGGGAAATCACAGGAAGGGCCGCGGTTTGCCAGGACTTGCTTTATCTGAGTGAGCCCTGTGGGGATTTTGGTGCTGAGTCCTTGTGGTTGTGATGGTTCGAACTTGGCTCCCTGCCAAATGCCCAAACCCCCAGTAGCAGCCCCGGCCCCTTCCCCCTTCCTTCTTCCCCCAGGGCAAAGAAAAAAACTATGCAAATTGAAGAACCCGAAAATCCAGCTAGTTATATAAAAAATATATATTTTATGTATATTACAGTTAAGATGCTATGTACAGAGCAAAAAGGAATCCAAACACCCAAAAGAAAGGAGACAAAGAAGGGACACCGAGCAGATATACGCAATCAAACCTGAGAACTGGAAAAATAACCAGTAAAATAACCAGTAAAACAAATCTCACCACGTCCCTTAGAATAAAACAGGATTGGCACACACAGCCAGCACTCTGCTATCCTCCACGTGGCAGGCCAGCGGTCGCTGCAGGCCTCAGCCTTAGATAAGCGAGACCAACGCAGGGACCCACTGTTCCCAAACCTCGCCAGAAGAGAAGAGAGCGAAGGCCTCTCCTCCCTTCTTATTTATACCCCGATTTATGTAAAAATCGTATGGAATACTGGGAACACTGCCCCTTCCTTGGTTACAAACTGGTCACCAAGGAAGGCCGAGATTAAAACCACCACAGGGTGACATCACAGAGACAGCAGTGACATCACAGGGGACATGGGTGACATCACAGGGACAGAGGTGACATCGTTGGGTAACAGTGACATCACAGGGGACTGATAACAACAAAGGGACAGCAGTGATGTCACAGGCCCATCGGTGACATCACAGGGACCTGGTGTCACTGGTGGGGACAGTGGTGACACCACAGAGACACCAATGACATCAACAGGGACATCAGTGACATGACAGGGGACATTGGTGACATCATAAGGTCAGGTGTGACATCACAGAGATACCAGTGACGTTATCGGTGACACTGGTGGCATCACAGGGCATAATGGTGACATCACAGGGACATCGGTGACATCATTGGGGACCAGTGACCTCACAGGGAACTGTTGACAACAAAGGGACAGCCATGATGTCACAGGGCTTTTAGTGACATCACAGGAGACCGTGGTGACATCACAGAGACACCAGTGACATCATCATGGACATTGGTGCCATCACAGGGGACACTGGTCACATCACAGAGACAGCAGAGAACTCATTGGGGACCAGTGACATCAGAGACACAACAGAGGGACAGCAATGATGTCACAGGGACAGTGGTGACATCAAAGGTGTCTGGTGACATCACTGGGACGTCAGTCACATCACAGGGACATGGTGGCACATCTGAGGACAGTGGTGATATCACTGGGACAGCAGTGACATCACTGGAGACCAGTGAAGTCACAGGGGACTACTTACAGCAATGGGGAAGCTGTGATGTCACAGGGACATTGGTGACATCACAGAGGGTGGAGGTGACAACACAGAGACACCAATGATATCACTGGGGACATTGGTGACATCAGAGGGGACAGTGGTGACATCACAGAGGAACTTTTGAAATCATAGGCGATTTTTGTCAAGAAATGGAAAGCCGTGGTATCGCAGGGACATCAGTGACATCACAGGGACATCAGTGACATCACAGGGGACATCGATGACATCACAGGGACATGGTGCTACCATTGGGGACAGTGGTGAAATCACAGAGACAGCGATGGCATCATTGGGGACCAGAAATATCACTGAGGACTGGTGACAGGGACATTGATGACATCACAGGGGACGTGGATGACCACACAGAGACACCAGTGATATCATGGGGGACATTGGTGACATCACAGGGGACAGTGGTGACAATACAGGGACAGCAGTGACATCATTGTGGACCAGTGACAGCACAGTAGACTGGTGACAACAAAGGGGCAGCCGTGATCTCCCAAGGACATCAGTGACATCACCGGGGACATTGGTGACTTCACAAGGACAGGGGTGACATCACAGAGACACCAGTGACATCATCGGTGACACTGGTGACATCACAGGGACATCCATGACATCACTGGGGACCAGTGACCTCACAGGGGAATGGTGACAACAAAGGGATATCCGTGATAGCACAGTGACATCAGTGACATCATTGATGACATTGTTAACAATTCAGGGGACAGTGGTGTCACCACAGGGACAGTGGGGACATCTTTAGGGACCAGTGACATCACAGGGGTCTGGTGACATCACAGGGATATTGGTGACATCATGGGGACACAATGCCACTGCTGGGGATAGTTGTGACATCACAGAGAGACTAGTGATGTCACTGTGGTCATTGGTGTCATCAAAGGGGTCTGGTGACATCACAGGGACATCGATGACATCACAGGGACACAGTGACACTGCTGGGGACAGTGGTACTGTCAAAGGGAGAGCAGTGACATCACAGGGACATTGGTGACATCACAGAGACACTAGTGAAATCACCAGGGACATTGGTGACATCACAGAGGGACAGTGGTGACATGACAGAGATAGCGGTGACATCACTGGAGACCAGTGATGGCATAGGGGAATTGTGAAAACAAAGGGACAGCCGTGATATAATGTGGACATTGGTGACATCACTGGGGACATTGAAGACTTCACAAGGACAAGGGTGACATCACAGAGACACCAGTGACATCACAGTGGAGAGTGGTGACATAACGGGGACAGCTGTGACATCATTAGGGATACAGGGACCACCCCTGGGACAGCAGTGACATCACAGTGGAGAGTGGTAACACCCGTGAGGACAGCAGTGACATCAATGGAGACCAGTGACATCACAGGGACAATGGTGACATCACAGAGACAATGGTGACCTCATTGGGAACAGCGGTGACATCAGAGGGACAGTGGTGACATCATTGGGGACCAGTGACATCTGGGGACCAGTGACGTCACAGGGGACTGTTGACAGCAAAGGGACAGCTGTGATGTCACAGGGACATTGGTGACATCGGTGACATCGGTGACATGACAGGGACCTGGTGCCACAGCTCAGAACAGTGGTGACATCACAGAGACAGCAGTGACATCATTGGGGACAATGTTGACATCACAGGGGACAGTGATGACACCACAGAGACACCAGTGACATTAACGGGGACATCAGTGACATCACAGGGGACATTGGTGACTTCACAAGGCCGGGGTGACATCACAGAGACAGCAGTGACATCATCTTACTTCATCCTCTCCTCTTCAGTTTCTCCTTCAAATGTCCCCTACACACAACCAACCGATCACAGAACATCAATTAAAACAGTTTATACAAGAAACTCTCTCTCCAAGGACTGAAAATCCCGTTTATCAGTGAACTTGGCAGGCAAAGAACAAAACTTTACAGGTGGCTGGGCCAAACACAGAGCAAAAAATATCAACAATCCCTGATACACTTATAAATCCACCTTCCAAAAGCAGGTCCCAGGTCCCTTTGGCTGGCTCAGAGGTTCCTGCAGTCACTGGGTTATTCTCTTCATCACCTCCAAGAAAGGAAACCAAAGGCAATGCACGACTTTAGCTGCACATGGGCCAAACCCCAACAATTCCACCACTCTTTCTCTCCAAAGTGCATCGAGGTCCTCGAGTCCCTGTCGGCTCTAACTGCAGGGCATACCTTGAATAGGGAACTGATTTCATGAAGTTTGGGTTGATAACGATGACTGCAGGTCCAGCTCCTGGTATGGTCTTACTCCCTTTGATGGCACCCATCTTGGACCTTGATCTGTGAACAGACAGGTGTGGTGCCTCCCCCAGGTTATGAGGGGAAAAGGCTCCACCCATTTTCCTGTTATAAGATCTTTATAGAGAACTTTTGCTTGGGTTGGAACAACAGGTCTGGAGGGAGAAAAGTGTTTGATCTCTCCCCCTCTGATTTAAAAAATTGAGCACAGAGGTGGCTTTTTGAAGCCGTTCCTGGGGGGTGAGTCCGACACAAGACTTTTGTTGTCTCTCCAACACGGTCGGGAGTGTGCGATGGGCTCTTTCAACAACGCTCTGAGCAGTTGGAGAGCGGGGAATACCCGTGCGGTGCTCGACTCCCCATAGCGCAAAGACGTCTTGTGTGGCCTTCGCCACAAATGAGGGTCCATGATCCATCTTTACCTGCCTGGGCACCCCCATGTGGGAGAAGGTGGCAAGGAGGTGTCTTTGGGAGTCCCAGCTTTTTTCTGTGAGGTGCTTAACTAATAAAAAGTACCATGAACAAACCATACTAATAGGCCCTCATGTCTGTCTGATTCTTTTTGGCCCTCATGTCTACCCAATTCTTTTTGGCCTTCACGTCTTCCAGCTTCTTTTTGGCCTTCAGGTCTGTCTGATACTTTTTGGTCCTCAAGTCTGTCTGGTTCTTTTTGGCTCTCAAGTCTGTCTGGTTCTTTTTGGCCCTCATGTCTACCCAATTCTTTTTGGCATTTTGGAACCGGGTGAAACAAAAGGAATCCAGAAGCATTTTGGAACTTGGAGGAAGAAAAGGAACCCAGAAGCATTTTGGAACCTGGTGAGACAAAAGGGGATGGTGGAGCTGGAAAGAGTAGACCTGGAAAGAGCAAGCGCCCTTGACCCTGGCTGTGCTGGGGGTCTCCCCCCTCCTCCTCTGCACAAAGGCACTGCCCCTGCAGCGCCAGAGAAGGGCTGAGGAGCCCCCCCGTTTCAGGGTCCGGGGATCCCTGGCCCCCCACACCCCTCTGTGCTCACCCTCTCCACGCTTCACCCCCTGCCCTCCCGGGCTGTC